AGATGGAAACTCCCTCCGCCTCCATAAGCCCACACTCACTGCCCCGGTGTACCTCTTTTCCCTTTCTTCCCTCCTGTTTCTGAGAAGAGTTGGCGCCAGACTTGAGCCTGGAATCCGGTCTCTAGAGAGTCTCTGTCTCCAGAGCCACCCATCTTACTGGTTTCTGCTTGAGCATTCGAACATGCTCTGTGCTTTCCCCACTGGTTGTGAAATAGTTTCTCTTCCACCTCATCCGCTGCTGCCCATGCTGGCTACTTTGAAAACCACGCTTCTTGCCTGTGCTGCCTCTGTTCTGCCGCCTTGTCCACTAGTTTCTGTAGTTCAGTCCAGTGGGCACGTGGGTTTTTCCTGTACGCTGAAATTGCAAGTGGCGTTCATACTCTTGATGACTCACTCTCTGTAGAAACACTTTTTCTTGTTTCACGACCTTGAACTCTTGCTCCTAATACGTTCTTGGGGTTCCTCTTGAGTTCTGTAGAAGGCAGCTTTTCCCATTCCACATGATTTCTTCTCACCTGCTGGCTCCCTTACTTTTATCTCCGCCTCAAGTTTCCCTGGAGCTGCACCCTGGCCATTCCCACTTCTCTCATACACAGGTCCCTTAAATGTAGCGTATATTTAAGACAGTTTATTCTCCTGGCACCTAGGAGATAGTTCAGGAGCCAGGGGAGCCTGCGTTGCCCAGTCAAGGTTCCCCCGCCCCACCCCACCCCACCATGTTCAGTGTTGGACCCAATCACCATTGGTGCGTTCCTGGTGCCCCCCTCCCCCCCAAGGCCTGAGAGGCAAACCATCCTGGTGATTGTGATTAGCCAGGTTTTGCCAGGAGTAGCTGCAGGATCCCCTGGGCACTGCTTGGGGCGCCAAAAAGAGAGGGGGTGGGGGACAAGGGAGGGAGCAGAAGCAGCAAAACCAGTTTGGTCTCTCCCCAGCACTCTTATCTAAAGAAAAGCACACCCAAAGCTAGCTCTGTGGTGAGGCTCCCAGCACACCCTTAGGCTCACCTGTGGTCTCTGGGCCTCCAAGTGAGCTCAGGTGATGGGTCCTCAGGGGGCCTTAGTCCTCCGGAGCACGCCTGTCCTCTGACCTCTGCTGTCAGTTGACCTGTGTTACTCTAGATTGGTCTCTGTCGTCTTCTCACTTCCCAGCACTCCATACTGTGATTAATCTGAGCTTTCCTACCAGACCGTTGGAAACTGCCCTGCTGATGGCCACTAACTTCTGTTAACTCAGTCCGGTGGGCACCCGGGTTGTTCCTGTACGCTGAAATTGCAAGTAGCGTTCACACTCTTGATTACTCACTCTCCGTAGAAACACTTTTTCCTGTTCCACGACCTTGAACTGTTGATCCTAATACATTCTTGGGGTTCCTTTATACTCACTACACATGTATCAGCAAGTGTATACAAACCAAAGTTGAGTGTGAAAAGGAATTGTGTCTTTAAAAACTAAGTTGAATGCTTTAAAAGGCTGAATTTTTTTTTCTTTTTAGGTCACACCCAGCTATGCTCAGGGGTTACTCCTGGCTCTGTACTCAGGAATCACTCCTGGCGGTGCTCGGGGGACCATATGGAATGCTGGGAATTGAACCCGGGTTGGCTGCGTGCAAGGCAGACGCCCTACCCACTGTGCTATGCTCCAGCCCTGAAATTTTTGGGGTTTTTTGGGTCACACCCATTGGGGCGAGGGCGTACTGCTGCCTCTACACTTGGGGATCACTCCTGGTGGAGCTCAGGGCATCATGTGGTGTTCAGGGGGTTGAATCCACGTCAGCCGTGTGCAAGGCAAATGCTCTACACATTGTATTATCTCTCCAACTCCCAGGGCTGGTAGTTTTAATGGTGAAGGTAATGCAGAAAACGTGTTACAAAATTCTAGTAGTCAGTGGCTTTATACAAAGAAGAAGCTGCCCCAACCCCCATTGTGGGCTGGGGGTGGAGCTCAGTGGTCGGGCACTTGTCCTGCATGTGGGAGGCTCTAGATTAGATCCCTGACACAGAAAAAAAGAAAAAAGGGAAAGGTCCTTCTTCAGAGACTAATGAATCAGTGAGCCTTTTGGGGGTTTGCTTTGTTTCAGAAGGCCCACAGCCAGCAGTGCTGGGAAACTGTCCGGTAATGGGGTGGAGTTTTAGGATATCATATGCAAAAGCTTTCCAACCCCTGAGTCCTCTCCCCAGCTTGAGCCTTTTTGCAAAAGTATGTGATATGATTGGACCTAGAAGACAATACACTGAGTGAATTAAGTTAGGGAAATAAGTCGGAGAAAGAGAACCACTGTGAGTCCAGTCATGTGGAAAATAAACAAAACCTCTTCTTACCAGGTTGGGTCATCCCCTGCAGTACTCAAGCCCAGAAGACCACATTCAGGGACCAAACCTAGCGCCCCACGCTTGGCAGGCACATGCCAAGGCCAGAAACTCTGACTCCAGCACTGGGTATCAGAGGGAAAGGGGAAAGGTGGGTTGGTGAGTGGGTCAGAGGGGCCCGAGCACCTGCACAGGGCTGGAAACTAGTTTCAGTGGTGAATAATGCAGTGTTCACTGCAATTTATCACGCTGTGTCCTGGAAACGTCTGTAATGTTTTCAACCAGTGTTATTTTGACGAAAATTTTAAATAGAACAGAAGCAAGTCTTCCAGTGCCTGGGTAGCAGCTTTTCTCCTGATCTGTTCTGCCTCTAGAGTGCTTTCGCAGCATTCGGGGTCAGTTCCTCATCTTATCGCTGCTGTCCTCCTCACGGTCTTCCCCTGACGTCCTTCATCAGCATCCCAGCTGGACAGCTGGCTTTTCCCTCCCTCTAGTTCCGTCTGCACATTGGAGCCAGCAAGAACTGTTCATTTGTTTGGCGGGTTGGTATAGGATGCAAGACAAGTCCTATACCACTGATCCATATCCCTGGACCCACAGTTGATTTTTTTTTTCTTTTTGGGTCACACCCGGTGATGCACAGGGGTTACTTCTGGCTCTGCACTCAGGAATTACTCTTGGCAGTGCTCAGGGGACCATATGGGATGCTGGGAATCGAACTCAGATTGGCCACGTACAAGGCAAACACCCTACACATTGTGCTATTGCTCCAGCCCCCACACAGTTGATTTAAAAAAAAAACAGTAGTTTTCTTTTTCATTCTTGCTGCTTGCTGGAGTGCTAGGGACCCAACCCAGGATCTTAACACAGGCGAGCTCCTTCCTTAGCCCACTACTAAAGTATAAACTACCACAGCCATGAACCTGATCGTGTTATCCTAGTTTCATAAGAGCCCGTAAGGCCAGCTGCTTTAAACTAGCAGGAGGGCATTTAGAACCTCATCTCAGCTTCCCTCTCTAGTTGGCTGCCAGCCTAGGGGCTCAAGTGTGACACACAGTTTGTGTGGACCCCTCTCCCTTTCACCATTCAGTTGGGGTTGGTGGGACAGATGCCTGTGCCCCTGGGGTCAGAGAGTGCCATTCCCTCTCACGGCAAGATCTTTCTATGCACTGCTCTTGTGCCTGGGACTTCTTGCCCCATGATTCACCACCCAGACAGCCCCTATGACCCTTGGGATCTTTTCTTCCTGATCTTACCTTCCAGCTTTTCTTTCCTGAACCTTGAAGTTAATTATCCATTCTGTGTGCAGTCAAAATAGCCTTTGAAGCAGTGTTGGGCTGGAGGCGTCATGCATGCTAGGGCTTCAGTGCCTGCCTTTTAAGTGTTTGGTCATGAGTTCTAATCCTGGGTCCCTCACATGCACATAGCCCAGCCCTGGCAGCTCCGCTGCCTGCTTTCCCAACACACCACAACCGGGTGTATGGTCCCAAATAGAGGAAGTGATTCCCGCCAAGCACAGCAGCTGGAGAAGGAGTGTGAGTGCTGTGCCCGGGAAGTGCGAAATGATCAGCACCGAAGTGATCCCTGGCTAGCACCAAAATTACAACTTGTGCGCTTTAAACGGAAGTGCAGCCAGGGTTGGAGAGATGGTGCAGCGGGTGGGGTGCTGGCCGGCTGACCTGGATTCAATCCCTGCTGCCCCGTAACGGTCCCCAGAACCCTGCCAGGAGTGATCCCTGAGCACTGCTGGGTGTGACCCAGCAACAGGAAGTGTACCCCAGTGTGGAGCACAGGAACCTCAGCTAAAGCAAGCCCAAAGAGCTCCGCCTCCCAGCATGCAAGCACTGAGGTCTGCTGAGTGAGTGGTCCCTGCAGCATTGAGGAGAGGACACATGCCCATATGCCCCTGCCCTGGTCCTAGCATCAGCAGCAGCCGATCAGGAATGACGCAAACTAGCTGCTATGGTGTACTCCTTTTAGCACACATTTAGGCCCAGTTGGCACGCAACCAGAGTTTACTCAGGCACCTAGACCCCCTCCAAAACAGCCAAACTAGTGCTGTACTGACGCTCATCATTTTGTTTGCCTCATCGCTTCTGGCGGTGCTTGGGACCATATGGGGTTGTGGGGGATTGAACCCAGGTCAGCTGCATGTAAGGCAAGCGCCTGCCCCACTGTACTGTCTCTCCAGCATCTCTGCTATGTAATTTTTTTTTTTTTTGCTTTTTGGGCCACGCCCAGCGTTGCTCAGGGGTTACTCCTTGCTTTGTACTCAGGAATTACTCCTGGCAGTGTTTGGGGAACCATATGGGATGCTGGGGTCGAACATCCAGGCGTTGCAAGGCAAATGCCCTCCCCGCTGTACTGTCTCTCCGGCACCTCTGCTGTGTGGTGATTTTAGTGAGCCAGGTAAAAAAGGCCCTCCCGTTGATCGTCGATTTGCCCGAGCGGGCCCAGTAACATCTCCATTGGAGACTTTGTTGTTACTGTGTCTGGCATATCGAATACTCTCGGTAGCTTGCCGGGCTCTCCGAGAGGGGCGGAGGAATCGAACTCGGGTCGGCCATGTTGGCCGCTTGTAAGGCGAACGCCCTACCCACTGTGCTATCGCTCCAGCCCGTGAGCCAGGTAGCTTTCTGAATATTTGAGAGGTCTTTGGGAAACAGCGAGGTGAACTGTTTGTGTCTCTTGTAGCTGCTGTCTCTGCTGGCCTTTATCTCTGAAGAAGTGGTGTCCCAGTGTACTATTTGTGGAGGACTTTACTTTTTCGAATTTGTAAGCTGCAGTGCCTTTCTGCTGAGTCTCCTCATACTGGTTGTATACTGCACTTCCGTATATGATAAAGTTGAATCTCCCAAAGTCAAGTTATCGGTGAGTATGAAGAATACCTTTTGTCCTTTACATGATATGTTTCTGAATTGCTTGGGGAATGGGGGTGCAGAGGGACATGCCCTGCAATATGCGGAGGTTACTCCTGGCTCTGCATCCAGGCACCACACCTGGCGATGCTGGGAGGACCATATGGGATGCTGGGGATTGAATTCTGGTTGGCCACTTACAAGGAAAATGCCCCTGTTTCTGAATTTAAAATAAAACAGCACACAAATCCTACCTCTTTAGAGTTTAGGCTTAGATTTTTTTTTTTTCCTTTGGGCCACACCTGGTGCTTCTCAGAGCTTACTCCTGGCTCTGAGCTCAGCGATCACTCCTGGTGAGGCTAAAGAGGCCATAGGGAGTACTAGGGATTGAACCAGAATTGGTCCCATCAAGACAAGTGTCCTAACCTTTGTACTGTCTCTCTGGCCCCGGCTTTGACGTTCTGACATGTTCTACAGAAAAAGAGGTTATGCACATATACACATAGCCCTTTTCAGAAGCTGTTATGATAAGGTCACCTGAATGGCCAGAGAGACAGCTCAAAGGACTGAGCACGGCTTTGATGTGAGAGGCCTTCCCCTGCCCCCTCCATCACAACTGCAAGTTGCCCCCAAGCACCGCCAGGTGTGGACCAAAGACTACAGACAACAACAAAAGAGTATCTAGGATGTCTTCAGAGTTTGTCCTGTCAGAAGTGTGGGTGGGCTGGAATGATGCCCCAGGGTGTTTGTGCACGCTTTGCCTGTAGGAACCCAGGGTTGTATCTCTGCTACTGCACGGTTCCCTGAGCTAGCACCCGCAGGAGTGACCCCTGAGCACAGAGCCAGGGGAAGGCTCTGAGAACCACTGGATGTGGCTCACCACCTCCCCCACAAACTCTGAAAAAACAGTAATATTCCTTTGCAGCAGTGTTTTTCCAGACTGGGGCTCTGGAGTTATCCAGCAGGTGTAGCCTGGGTGCAATTGGCGGGGTGGTGTGTTTGGGGTTTCTGTTTGATTAAATAGATTTTCAGGGGGCGCTGAGTGATTTTCTTTTTTCTGGAATGGGGGCGTTTGACCAGATAAGTTTGGGACCCCATTTTACAGAGTAGTTGTTGAATGCCAAGCTTACTGCAAAGTTAGAAAGGGGCTGAGTGATAGCACAGCAGGGAGGGTGTTTGCCTTGCACGCAGCCGACCCAGCTTTGATTCCCAGCATCTCATGTGGTCCCCTGAGTACCTCCAGGAGTAATTCCTGAGTGCATGGGCCAAGAGGAACCCCTGAGCATCACCGGGTGTGACCAAAAAGAAAAAAAAAAGTTTGAAATCAATGTGAAATCAATGTGTCAAGGTGTGTCAAGAAAAAAACACCCTCAACTTTTTGGGGGAAGTGGGGTGTGTAGTTCTAGAAATAGACCCCAGGACCTCATATGTACAAAACCAGAGATCTACTATAAATTTGTTTTGCTCTGTGTGTTGGTTTTGGGGCCCACCTGGTGGTACTTGGGGCCTACTCCTGGCTTTGTGCTGCGGGCGTCACTGCTGGTGGTGTTCCAGAGACTATGGTGCTGGGGCTGGAACTGGAGTTGACTGTGTGCAAGGCAAGCGCCACAACCTCTTCACTTTCTGGCCCTTCCAGAAAAATTTTTAAAAGTGGAACAGTGAAAATACAGGTCCAGGTAGGTGGCGGAAGGGCTAAAGTGCGTGGCTGCCTCGCGCCAGGCCCCAGGTATGATCCCTTGGACCGACTGGTTCCCGCACACCACCAGGAGTAGCCCCGGTGCCTCCCCGTTCCACTTGTCCATGTCCAGCTGCATCCTAGGTTTGGGCATTGGAGAATTTAACCTGCACAACCAGGCGGAGTATCACTAAGAGTGGCTCCGAGTGCCCTGGCACGCTGCCCCTGTGCCCTAAGCCCCCAGCTGAGACATTTGCTTTCCTCAGTCTGACCAGACTATTCCTTATGTGTATTGTACAAACAGGATTTTTATATCACTGCGGCAACGGGAGGTGTATTTCTGTTGGCATCCATCATTTTTGCTGCCACGCAGGACAGGACCTCAGCTGAATATGCTGCAGTGGTAAGTACCTCCTATTTATATTTTTGCTTATTTTGCTTCCGTAGAAATAGGGCATATGGGAAATACATGACAGATTTTACAGTATGATTGTGGGACAGTGGTTTGCCTTTTAGTTAATTTCTTAGTATAATTTTTAATAGAACACCTAGAAGAAAAGAAATATGATAGCCTTAGAAACTAGGATCTGAATGAATTTTGTTAATCAAAAGCCATTTCCTGAGGCCAGGGATATTGCTTACCAGGAGAGTGCTTGCTTTGCATGTGTGAAGTCTCACGTTGTCCCTGGCACTTTGTCGCCTTTTTGGGCACTGCCAGGCCCTGTACCGCATTGCATTACTGGGCCTGAACATTGAGCATCCAGCTTGCTTGGTGCAGCATGATAGGTGTAGACCCTGAGAAACCTCTAAAAAGACAAACTATAAATAGTTTCACTTCATGTCCATTTTAAGCTAAGTAAATGATGGAAACATTGAGTTTTTGTAGCCTTTTGAATTTCAGAATTGCTCATGAAGGCTCAAACGAACATCAGTGCACAGTTCTAAACATGATTGGCCACTGAGTGACAGATCCTTGTACAAGTCAGCGGGTTTCCAGTTAATACTTTGTTCATGACAGAATTGAAGATTTGATTAAGTTGTCAGCTGATAGTTGATTAAGTTGTCACTAAGCTACTTTTTAAATGATAAAACAGCTCAAAAGAAGATCAGGGAGGGGCTGGAGTGATAGCACAGCGAGTAGGGCATCTGCCTTGCACGCGGCCGACCCGGGTTTGATTCCCAGCATCCATATGGTCTCCCGAGCACCGCCAGGAGTAATTCCTGAGTGCATGAGCCAGGAGTAACCCCTGCGCGTTGCTGGTTGTGACCCAAAAAGAAAAAAAATATTGGAATTGCAGGATTATTTATCTGAACATGACTTCTTAGTTCTTACATCTGTAAGCAAGACAAAGCAATAAAATGAACGCTCGACCATGATTCAGTTTTAGCAGTAAGTAATATCAGAGGACTCATGAAGCAGTTGAAGAGAAAATGAAAGTTTTATTTTGTTGGTGCGTTTTAGTTAGACACATTTTTATTACCCAGGGTAAGGTTAAAATACAAAATACAGGGGCCAGAGAGATAGTACAGCAGGTAGAGTGCTTGCCTTACATGCAGCCGATCTGGGTTAAATCTTGGAACCCTGGATGGTTCTCCAAACCCGCCAGGAGTGATCTGTGAGTGCAGAGCCAGGAGTAACTGCCAGATGTGACCCCAAAACAGGAAAAAAAAGGTTTTGGAGAGAAGAGGACATGAGACTTGAGTGTGGGAGTGAGATTGATAATTCTGTTATCCAAAACATGTTTATGGTAAAGGTATCAGGCCATGCAGTGTAATAAAGCATAATTTTGGGGTGTGGAAGGTCCAAAGGTGTCAGCAGTCGTAAGGAGCAGAATGAGGGGTCAGAGCTGGCGCCGAGAGCACACTAACCCGGCCCCAGTGGCAGCTTTCTTTCCGTGTGGTTTCTGGCTTGGGTTCATGCTTAGTAGCATTCAGGGGTCCAGGCACTGCTGCCCACATGAATGCCTTCAGACTCTTGGGCTCTGCCCCACTACCACCTCACCCTGCCACTGTCTCTTTCAGTGGTTCGTTTTTGTCTCCCTTTTCCACAAGGGCTTTTTGCCAGTGAAAAGGCTAAATTTGAACGTGTGGCCTTCTGTTGACAGAATTCTCAGAATACTTGGTCGTATATTAGTAGTATAAGGAGGAAGTAACTTAGGGAAGAGGAAGTAGGTGACCGCATTATGTTGCTGTGTCATTATATTGTGACGGTTATAATTGGAAAATATCTCTGAAGTCATTGAACCTAGGAGTGTATTCCAAATAAATTTTTTTGATAATTTAAAAAGTTTTCCCTAAAATTATTTACCCAACACTCATCTGATAAGCGCTTAGTTAATGCACAGGATATATAAGGCACTGGTAGAACTTTACAAGGGGGGAAAATAATCTAACCCCATCAAAATTCGGGGAGAAGAGAAGAACAGAAACTTCTTTAAAGAAAAAATACAAATGACCAAAAGACACATGAAAAAGTGTTCAATATCATTAATTATCAGGGAAATACAAATTGAAACATGAAATACTATCTCATGCCACAGAGACTGGCACAAATTAAACAAAAACCAGTGCTCACGTGGATTCGGGGAAAAAGGGACTCATTCTCTGCTGGTGGGTGTGCAGATTGGTCCAGCCTTTCCGGAAAACTATAAATATTCCTCAAAAAGCTAGAAATTGAGCTTCAATACAGTGCAGCAGTACCACTCCTGGGAATATACCCTGGTGGCCCCAAAACACACTGTAGAAAAGTCATCTGCACTCCAATGTTCGCTGCAGCACTGTTTACAATAATCAGAATCTGGAAAAAACCAAGTGCCCGAAAACAGGTGAGCAGATAGAGAAACTGTGGTTCATCTACACAATGGAACACTTTGCAGCTGTTAGGAAAATTGAAGTCAAGGAATTTGCTTCTCCATGGATGGAAATGGAGAGTATCATGCTGAATGAAAAGGGTCAGATGGAGGAGAAACACAGAATGATTGCACTCATTCGTGGGATATGAAAAAAAAAAAGAACAAACACCCCATAGTATGTGAATAACACCCAGAGACAGTAGAAACAAGGGCCAGGAGGACGGGTCCATGGTAGGAAGCTTGCCACAAGTCGGGTGGCATGGGAGGGCATTTAGGATAGAGGTGGGACCACTGTGACAGTGATGGTTGGAAATGATCACTCTGGACAAAAACCCAGTGTGGAAAGTAGGTAAAGAGAGCAATATGCATGATAAGCTTTCAGTAACAGTTGAAAACCATAGTGTCTGAAAGGGAAATGGTGGGGAGGGGTGTTTGCTACAGAGGCAGGCTGTGGGGGTGAGATGGGGGATGGGTGGGAGGGAATCTGAGCACTTTGGTGGTGGGACATGTGCACTGGTGGAAGGAGGTGTGTTGGAACTTTGTATGACTATGAACAACTTTGTAAAGGTGTGTCTGATTAAATTCAAAATTAAAAAATAAAAACTCAAAAAACCTTTGCCAGGGGCTGGAGCGATAGCATAGCAGGTAGGGCGTTTGCCTTGCACGCGGCCGACCCGGGTTCGATTCCCAGCATCCCATATGGTCCCCCGAGCACCGCCAGGATTAATTCCTGAGTGCAAAGCCAGGAATAATCCCTGTGCATCACTGGGTGTGACCCAAAAAAAGCAAAAAAAAACCCTTCTCCAGGAATCAAGGAGATAGTATAGGGGTTTGGGCGCTTGCCTCGCACACGGCCAACCCCAGTTCTTTCTCTGGCACCCATATGGTTCCCTGAGCCCCACCAGAAGTGATCCCTGAGCACCTGAGCATAGAGCCAAGAGTAAAGCCCTGAGCACTGCTGGGTGGGTCCCAAACAAAAGTTATGAGCTCAGTATATTAGCGTGACGTATTTGATATGCTAAACTCAGTAACAAGTGTCACAATGGAGACGTTACTAGGCCCGCTTGAGCAAATCGATAAACAATGGGAGAACACTGACAGTGACAGTGATATTAGGTAATTGATGAATTCTGGCTCGTGTGAAACTTCCTAAGCCCAGTAGGAAATGAGATGAGACCCTCAAATTTGTCATGTAATCTTTCCCCTCTTTCTTCCTAGGTGTTTGGGTTCCTGGGAAGTATTGTGTTCATAGCTGACGCCGTCAACATGCACTTACAGGACCGAAGGGCTGCTGACATGAACAAGCCTGAGGCAGCTCCCAAGACGACCCTCACTGAGCCACTCAATGCCTGAGAACTCACCGGGGACAGGAGTCACCCATGGGTGACTGTGTGGTGCCAGAGCCCTGGCAGGTGGCCTGGAGGAATTTTATTCCAGTAAAACCATTTAATAGGGGAGAGCAGGGGGAAGGGCCCAGGGGCAGTTTTGTCAATATTGGACTTTGTATCAGTCACCACAGATTAAGCCAGAGGGGGTTTTCGGGAGTATTGTTTTTTTTTTTTTCCCTTAAAACTTTTTTTTTTTTAAATAACGGTTGAACACATTAAATGGAGTATGTGGAGGTTTATTTTTGGAGTGGGGGCAATTTCTTTTTAAATTACATAAACTCAGCTGCCAATAAATTACTCTTATCATTGTTATTAGACTTAGCTTTCAAATTATGCTTTAGAATTCTATAAACAGCTTGATTAAGTTCATCCATTTAGAATTTTAAAAAAATGTTTAGTTATGACTTTGTTTTGATGATTAGGTTTGTAATGTACATTTTAAAAGATCACTCAAATGTTCACTAGGTTTTTTTTTTAACCCTTTAAATGTAATAACCAGGCTTTACTGTATTTCACTCAGCCTTAAAGTTGTAGGGTAATTTTAGGATAATTATTACCTCTTTCTGGTACTTTGTAGTAGAAAAATGTGTGGGAGGTGTTGGTATTTTTTATGTGTGAAAGCAGTAATTCCCAGCACCTCGTGTTTATATGCACTTTTGCTGTTGTTGATATCAGGAAAAAAAGCAACACAAGGTTTTTATATGACAGAAGAGAAAAGTGGGGAAAAAAAGCGACTATTCCTATGGACCAAAGAGAAGAAAGGCTACCTTTCATGTAGGACTGCAGAAGTGGTTACAGAGGTTTCAACCCCCAGTATCTCTAGAGGTCAGTTCATGCTATGAATTAGAAAACGAATCCTTGGGGGCTGGAAAGATAGTACCACATTTAGGGCACTTCCTTGCATTGGGCAGCCAATCCAGGTTCGATCCCTGGCATCCCATATGCTCCCCTGAGCCTGTCAGGAGTGATTCCTAAGCATAGCCAGGTGTAGCCCCAACCACCCACCCTCAAAAAAAAAAAAAAGAAAAAAGAAGTGTTCCTAATTATTTTTAAAAAGAGCTGTTCGATCATTTCTCCTGAAGTTAGCCCAATACTGGAAGACCCTGTCAGTGGTTCCTTTGAAACCAGTATTCCTGTTTGGGGTTGGGGTGTTGCAAATAACCAGCCTGGGGCCTCACACCTGCAGCATATGTCCTGTGGCCAAAGCACACTCTTGGCCCCAGTTCATTTTTCTAGATGCCTTTGGGTTTCTCACCCCCTTGAAACGGTGCTTCCTTTTCAGAGTCCAGAGGGACCCTCACTCTGCCTCCTCCCCAGTCAGAGGTGGAGCGTTCTTGCTCTCTCTGGCCTTGCTCCTTTGTTCCTCTGGAGGGGACACTTGAAGTGAACTCTGAGAGAATCCTGCCCGGGTTCGTCATGTTGGCAGTGTCAGGGGCCGGACCATTCCCAGGAGACCCTTCTCAGCCGGTTTTATCTTCTGTTGCTGCCAGACGGCCCTGGAGCCAGGCAGGCCTCTGTGAACAGGTGCTTCACAGAGCAGTGCCTTCCGCCTGGACTTTAGACCCGGGGTTAGTGTTGTGGCGCCAGCCTGTGAGTCAGACCTGTCCATGCTTGGGTAGAGGTCTGGGCCTGCTGTCTGTTTCTGGGATCCTGTTCTGGCGGGAGAGCCATGAAGGGCCCCCATATTTGACCCTACACCCCTGCCGGTGTGTGTCATGGAGTTGGTCAAGCCGCACGAGTATGGCTAATGTGGGTATCAGAAATTGGCCATGATGACCAGACACACATCTTCTGCTCTGTCTTCCTGGCTCAGCATCCATTTGTGTCCCAGTGTGGACGCTAGTGGTGCTGTCACTACCACCCGTGTCAGAGGATGACACCAGCCTGGAGGCTATATTCATGGGTTTTCCCACCTCAGAGGGGGGATCAGCTATGTCTGAAGTGGCTTCAGATACCAGTGCCCAAGAAACAGTGCCACTGATGTTTTCACTACCCTCCTGGTCCCGCCCGGCCAGTCCTCACCACACCACACGTGCTCCACAGGGTCTGCACCCCTGCCTTGGCAGGGCTCACTGGGACTAGTGTCCTTGGTTCACGGCACCCATAAAGCCTGTTGGCATTGAACGGAAACTCCTTGTTTGGAGGTTTTGCTTCTCTTTGTTTCATTGGGGTAAAAGTGGTCCTGGGAGCTGGCCACTCCGTCCTTTCATTTTCAGAAAGCTCATGTGTTTACTGGTCCTTCCTGTCACTTCACATTGCCTGTCACTGATGAGTTTCCTCTGATGCGCCACTATGGAAATAAGTAGTTCGGGAGAAGCAGGGACCAGAACCACTGCTCCGAAGAGCACAAGAGCACACTCAAGAAACGCAAATTTAAAATGATTCTTTGGCACCCAAGGTTAGCGTACTCTGTTATGTTCTGCACAGACTGTATGGAACAGCCCTAGAAGCTCTGAAGGAAATTTCTCTAGAAACATTCTGTAATTGCTACACTTCCTTGACTTTCAGCTTAAATACCGGGATATGTCATTTTCCATTGTTCTTAGCCAATCTCTTTTGTATTTATCAGTGTAAGTCCTGTGGGTCTTTTTTATCTTGTCAAATTTTGTAGCCTTTTTAAATAAATCCATTGTATGAAAATGTTCATATCTTTGTAGTTCCTTTTTTTTTTTAACAGAAGCATGTTGCTGAGTGCAAGCTTGCCTCCCCTCCCTCCCCCTCTAGCTTTTGGGCTCTGGCCTTGAAGGGTGGGTGTCCAGAGACCTACACTGTGGGTCTGCCCATGGATGGTGGCAAGGGAGCAGAGCAGTGACGGCCGTTCCTGGGCATGGCTGTCCCTCCTGGGACCATTAGAATACACATAGAATCGACATTTTTAAAGCCCTGTGAAGAATCACAAAAGAATGCTAGGACTAAGCGCCTTCAGATACTAACAGAGCAGCAAATTTGGACTCTCCACCACATTTCTTGACCTGGTTAACAATGCTGAAAACAAAATGTACCCATTCTCTTTCAGACTGTTGAGTGATTAGAAAAGGGTGAGGTAAACTAGGGTGGTTTTGGTAAACAACTATTTGTGTAGTGTGCAGAAATCCCTGCCTCCGGCCTGGGTGAGAATAACAAAGTCTTTATAGCATCAAGAGCTCCCTGGAATCTGTACATTCTTTTGCTTTTTGCTTTGTCTTGTCTTTTTTGTTTTATTTTTTGTTTTTTGAGCCACACCCAGCAATGCTCAGGGATTGCTTCTGGCTCTGCACTCAGGGATCACTCCTGGCAGTGCTCAGGCGGCCATATGGAAAGCTGGGGATCAAACCCAGGCCAGATGTATGCCATGCAGGGGCCTTACCCGCTGTACTCTCTCCAACCCCCAAATCTCATTACATGGATTTTCTTTGTTTTGGAGCAAATACACTTGGCAGTACCTAGCTTTGCACTCAGGAATTATTTCTGGGGGCTGGAGCAATAGTACAGCGGGTAGAGTGTTTGCCTTGCATGGGGCTGACCTGGGTTCAATTCCCAGCATCCCATATGGTCCCCTGAGCACCGTGAGGGGTAATTTCTGAGCCAGGAGTAACCCCTGTGCATTGCCAGGTGTGACCCAAAAAGAAAAAAAATTTACTTCTGGTGCTTCTCAGGGGACTATAGGGGAACCTGGGATTGAACCCAGGTTGGCTACGTGCAAGACAAAGTAGGGCCTGCTATACTGTCACTCTGGGCCTACTTTATCTTTGGGTTGGGGGGCCACACCCAGATGTTCTCAGGGACCACTTCTGGTGGTTCTCAGAGGGACTTTGTGAATTGCTGGTGATCAAACGGGGGTCAGCCACATGCACGGATAACGCCTAAACCTCTTACTATCTCTCTGGCCCCATGTGTTTAGATGAAGAGCACTATATACTACATAGTCAGTTGCAAAGAACCAAAGCAACTAACTCTTAAATAGTAAGGAAAAGTTATTTCACAAGAAGTCTGGGCGTGGGTGGAGCCATACTGCAGCGGGTATTATCTCGCACATGTCTTGCACATGGCTGACCCAGGTTCAAGTCCCCTCCATCACATGGTTCTTTGAGCCCTGTCAGGAGTGCTCCCTGAGCAACGCTGGGTATGGCCCCCCAAAACCAACAGAACAAAGTGTGGGTAGGGCAGTTCCATGACTGGTGGCTCAGGCATCAGCAGAACTTTCCAGTGCTTTCCATGCCCATCTGTCTCCTGTGACTCCCTATCCACAGCATTGACCTATGCCAGGAGTGGAGAATGCTGGGCCCATGGATGTATAAGGCCAGTGAGGATATGAGTTCTGGCCCCGATGCAATGCTGCTGTGTGGCTGCCTGTGCCTGGCCTGCCTGTATTGTATGCCCCATGAATAATGATGTTATACACAACCGAATGGCCCTGGGCAGGAAAGGCTCCCCACCCCTGATCTGTCTATAGTGGCTGCCTGTGGCAGTCTGCCTGTATTGTATGGCCCGTGAATAGTGATATAAACAACCATATGGCCCTGGGCAGGAAAGGCTCCCCACCCCTGATGGAGCTGTAGTGACAACATCACATCTGCTCCCATAGCAGGACTTGAAGCCAAATGACATATGACATTGTTAATTGTTCTGTATCTCTGAAGTTCCTTTTTTTTTTTTTTTTGGCTCATTTTGGTTTGAGGGGGCTTAATAGCACAGTGGTAGGGCGTTTTCCTTGCACGCAGCCAGCCTGGCCGAGCCGGGTTCGATTCCTCCGCCCCTCGCGGAGAGCCTGGCAAGCTACCTAGAGTATCTTGCCCACATGGCAGAGCCTGGCAAACTACCCGTGACGTATTCAATATGCCAAGCACAGTAACAACAAGTCTCAAAATGGAGACGTTACTGGGCCTGTTTGAGCAAATCGATGAATAATGGGAGGACAGTTTGTTTGTTATTTGGTTTGGGGGCCACACCCAGCTGTGCTCAGGACTTACTCATGGCTCTGTACTCAGGGATCACTCCTGTGGTGCGTGGAGAACCGTATGGGATGCTAAGGATGGAAGCCGGGTCACTGCTTGCAAGGCAAGCTGTACTGTGTTTGGGTGAAGAGCTTGAGACCAATAATCACCAGCCCTAAGGGCTTCCTTTCTCCCAGAAACCCCTCGGTGGGCTTCACCTATTTGCCTTATTAGAGGACATTAGCTCCTTGTCTCTACATCACTTACTGTAATTTTTGTCAGTGATTGGTTCCCAGCCATCAAGTTCTTCCCATTAGGCTGTGAAGAGCCTGGAAGAGCGTTGCCTTCTGCTACCTGAATGAAACTGGTTTTGTTGGCCTGTGGAAGGTCCATTTGGGTTGGGGGTGGGAGGTCAACAGTTTCTGTCATAAGTGTGTGTTAGGGCTTGTGCCTTAAATAGAAACAAAATTTCCAGTTTGATTTTTTTTGTTGTTTTGGTTTGGTATGCCAAAAACAGGAACAACAACAAAACATTAACAAGCCTCACATGGAGATGTTACTGGTGCCCCTTTAGGCAAATCGATAAACAATGGGAGGACAGCGCTACATTGCTACAGTGCTTGTTTTGGTAAAATGATGGCCCCAAAACAATTTAACATGGGAAAATTGACTTTATAAAGTGACATTGAGGGGCTGGAGTGATAGCACAGCGGGTAGGGCGTTTGCCTTGTATGACCCGGGTTCGATTCCCAGCATCCCACATGGTCCCCTGAGCACTGCCAGGAGTGATTTTTGAGTGCAAAGCCAGGAGTAACCCCTGTGCGTTGCCAGGTGTGACCCAAAAAGCCAAAAAAAAAAAAGTGACATCATTGATGGGGCCGGAGTGGTAGTACAACAGGTAGGACACTTGCTTTGCATGTATTGGACGTGGGTTGGATCCCCAGCATCCTATAAGGTCCTCTGAGCACTGCCAGAAGTAATACCTGAGTGCAGAGCCAGGAGTAAGCCCTGAATATGGCCAGGTGTGGTCCTGCCATCCCCAATAAAAGTGACGTTGCACTATAACGTCACTTAGTTTCAGATGTGCATCATTGTCAGTCATGCCTGAGTGCACCACCTCGAGTTCTCCACGGAGGGCGCCGTTCTCTCCCTCAGATGGTGTCAGCGGGCTCCTCTCTCCTCTTCCCTTTCCCTTCTGCTAGCCACTAGTGAGCATCATAGTCCAAAAGTTTATTTTTGTTTTACTTCCTCGGCTATCTCTCTGTGCCATGAGTGAATTTATTTTTTACTGACTTACGCCTGTAAGTCGTACAGTGCATTTTTCCGAGGGGGAACTCGACTGCCAAGTTTAAAAACTGTAGTTTCCACGTGGATGCTGCCTACTGGGTGTCTGTTGGCTTGTACCATACCTCTCATGCAGTCTAGAGTCAGACTGAAGGGCTGAGGCTTATTGGGAGGTCCAGGACATGAATGACTTTTGGGGGCGCTGGGCAAGGAGTGTAGGTCACGCCCTGCAGTGCTCACTCAGTGCCCTGGTGCTCTACTCTGAGGGACCCGTGGTGGTGGTGGACACCAAACCTGGGTCAGTGCCTTACACCTTGTATTGTCTCTTCTGCCCCAACAGTTGCTATAATGACAGGAATTTTGTAAAAGGAAAATTTTGTTTTGTGGGGGACATATCCAGCAGTGCTCAGGGCTCATTCCTGGTATAGGGTGCAAGGGTTCAGTTGGGTTGGCTGTCTGCAAAGATCTCGGCCCTAAAGCAATGCATGTAGTTACGCTAGAGTGACAGCTCAAAAAGAGGTGGTGAGGGACTGGAGAGATAGCACAGCAGGTAGGGCGTTTGCCTTGCACGTGGCCGACCCGAGTTCGATTCCCAGCATCCCATATGGTCCCCTGAACATCGCCAGTACTAACTCCTGGGTGCAGAGCCAGGAGTAACCCCAGTGCATCTGTGCATCGCCAGGCCGGGTGTGACCCAAAAAGCAAAAAAAAAAAAAAAAAGGTGGTGAGTGTGTGTGAGTGATAGTATAGCAGGTAGGGCACTTGCTTTGCACGCGGTTCATCCGGGAGTGATTCCCGAGTGCAGGGCAAGAGAGATGTGAGTAAGAGAAGCGGGAGCAACACAGAAGCAATGAGAGATTTGACAGCTAGAAGTAGCTGATAGGGACCACTAGTGCCACGCTGATGACATGAGAAAACGGGTATAAAGAGGGGCTGGAGTGATAATGCAGCAGGCAGGGCGTTTGCCTTGCATGTGGCCGTCCTGGGTTCAATCCCCGACATCCCATCTGGTCCTCCGAGCACTTCTAGGAGTAATTTCTGAGTGCAGAGCCCAGGAGGAACCCCTGAGCATTGCTGGGCGTGGCCCCCAAACAAAACAAAGCTAGTAGGGAGAAAGGGCCACGCGTGGATCAGTCTCAGTGTGCGAGGGTGTGGGGCACCAACGACTGTGACTAGACTGCATGCATCTGAGGTCAGAGGTGCAGCGGCTGCTCCGAATCTGAACGTGGAATCCTTCCGTTGTGCCTCACCTGCCACTTCCCAGCTCGGACCCTGCCCGGCAGGGTCGGCGTTGCTCCCCGCTGGCCACTAGGGGGCGGCGCTGCTCTCCGCTGGCCACCAGGGGCTAACGTTACTCCCACTGGTTAGCAGGGGCCGGCGCTGCTCCCCACCTGTCACCAGAGGGCGCCGCTGCTCCTCGCCGGCCACCAGGCGGCGGCTCTGCTCGGTTTTGGGCTGCGGCAGGGGACCCTGGGAGGCCCCGGATTCTGGAGGAAGCAGCTGCTCCCCCTGGGGCCCCCCGCGGCTTCCGCCTGACTTCCGGGGCGACACCCTGCCCTGCCACAGGCCCGGGTGGGACCGCACCGTGGGACTCGGGGGTTTGCATGGTCATAGCGCAGTCATGTGCCGTGGTCACCCTGGGCCACATTTGTCCAGAACGTGCAGACCCCCGTGTCTCCGAGCTCGTGCAGCTCACACAGGAGTTTGAGCTGTCTAGGCGGCGTGCAGGGTGGGATGCAGGCTCAGTGCACCTGCCCCGCGGCCCCCACGCTGCACTGGTGAGCCAGCGACTCTCAGTCTTACAGGATGTTCTCTGCACGGCCCCGTGCAATTCTACGAAAAGCTGTCATCGTGTTCTTTCATTCGTGAATTATTTTTGTTGTTAGCCTACACCCGGTAGTGCTCAGCGCTTATTCCTGACTGTGCTCAGGGATCACTCCTGGCGAGGTTGAGGGACCACAAGGGATATCCAGGAACAAACCCTGGTCAGCGCGTGCACAGCAAGGGCCTCACCTGCTGTTTCATCTCTCTGGTTCTGAAGCATTTGTTTTGGGGCCACACCCAGCGCTGGGGTTCTTCTGACTGTGCACCCAGCAGTCACTCCTGGCAGAGTTTGGGCGGGGTGGAGAAGTCTCTCGGGACCGTGTAGGCCATGCCCAACATTTTTTGTTTTTTTTGGGGGGGGTCACACCTGGCGATGCACAGGGGTTACTCCTGGATTTGCACTCAGGAGTTAACTCCTGGCAGTGCTCAGGGGACCATATGGGATGCTGGGAATCGAACCCGGGTCGGCCGCGTGCAAGGCAAATGCCCTACCCGCTGTGCTATCGCTCCAACCCCCCCAACAATTTATTTATTTTTTTTGCTTTTTGGGTCACACCCGGCAACGCACAGGGGTTACTCCTGGCTCTGCATTCAGGAGTTACTCCTGGTGGTGCCCAGGGAACCATATGGGATGCTGGGAATCGAACCCGGGTTGGCAGTATGCAAGGCAAACACCCTACCCGCTGTGCTATTTCTCCAGCACCTCCCCCCAACATTTTTTAAAGCAGAGAAACACCCCTTGTCAATCTTATTTATGAAACCCCATAAGATAAGAAATGATATGAAAATCATCTATTTCCATGGATAACATATTTTTGCTATTTAACTTGGCCTGGAATAATGGGGCTCCTTTGTAAAGAGCCGAGGCTGAGGCTGTGGCCTCCTCTTGGCTTTGCCTCTGTTTAGCTGTGCTAGGGCAGGAGTTACTGGTGGCGACCCCCCCTACCCCACCCCCACCCTTCTGTTGCTTTCCCCTCCTCTCCCCTGCCCTCCCTTCCTTTCCCTTCCCTTTATGGGCCTGGGTGCTTGGTGCTGGGCTGGTTCCCTGCGGTGCTTCTGCCCTCTGAGCCTTCTCACAGCTCACAGAGCAGAGGCAGGGGTGGCAGAGCCAGCATTTCTGGTGGGGGGCTGCAGCTCTGGTGGAGGACTTCGGCTCTGCAGGAGGCAGGCCCAGGTCCTTGTCAGCGCCTGGGGTTGACAGCAGGAGCGGGGGTCTGAAATGCCATCACAGGTAATACCCCATCTGCCCTGCCTCCAGGACAGCTGAAACTTGCTTCTCCCTTCAGAGAAGAGGCCTGGGCTGTGCGTCCACAGGGAAAGGCTGGCTCTGTGGCCTGGTCCCCCTCTAGGCTGAGGCTCCTCCTGGCTCTGTGCTCAGGGGTCTCTTAGAACGGATACTCCACCAGGGATATGAACCGTGCAAGGCCAACACTTGAACCCCCCACTGGACCTTTACACACTAAGCCCCCACGGACCATTTGTGTTCTGTCTCTGAGTGGTGCTGGCTCTGGCCACATCACACACGTGGAACCACAGAGCTTGTTCTTGGGGGTCCGACTGAGCCCATGGAAGCTGTCAAGCTCCGGTGCCACACTGTGGAGGGTGGGGTGTGTGTGTGTGTGCAGACCTTGAACTGCTCGGAGCTGGCTGTGGGCACCCAGGCTCCCACCCCAGCCTCATTTTACTTTGAAACAACATGCAAATCTCCAGAAATCAGTCTTCCTGGCCTTTTCTGCTTCTCATCCCCCAAGAGGCGGAGGGTTCCCCCCTACCCGCAGCGAATCCCCAGGGAGATTTGGGGCCTCTGCTGGTACGTTTAAGCAGAAAAATCCCTCTGAACCCGCCAAGTCAATCTTTTATTTAGAAACACAAATGTACAAAGAACAACGCAGAGAGGTGAGGCCTCCTGCCTTTCTGCCTGGGCACAGACTGACCACATGAGGCTTCCACGGCGGCCCCCCTTTGCGAAAGTGGGTGTCCTTGGACCAGACATCCACGCGAGAGATGTGGGGGAGAGGGGGGTTGGCGGATCTGTTATGCTGTGAACTTAGGTGGTGGGCGCCAGGAAGTTGGCAGGTGGGTGGTGGATGCGGGGTGTCCTCCCTGGACCAAGTGGCTCCGGGCTCCCGAGACGGTCCTGAGAGTAGGAGGGAGGGGCCAGGGTTCCACCTGCCCAGCCAGGTCTTTCCCAGACAGGAATGTTCTGGAAGGCTGCAGAAAGAGGCTTGGGAGTCCGGGACGGTGACGGTCCCCTTCCTGCACACTGGCCTGAGCAGGACTTTGGCATAGGCACGCAGGTTCAGATGTCTTTTCCTGGGGGTACTGCACCCCGCCGCTCTGGGGCTGTTGACCTTCGGGTTCTGCCGAGCCTTCTGGGACAGGGCGGAGTCACACGGCTGCATCTTGGGAGGAAAAGGCAAAGTCAGCACGGCTTGTGGGCAGGACCCGCCCAGGGCCCAGAGGCCCTCCTAAGCCCTTCCAGCCTGCAAGTGGCATCTCTGGCTCTATTTGTGCATGCAGGAACCCCAGGCTGGGGGACCATGTGGTGATAGGGTCTGACCCAGGGCTTCCGCATGCAATCGATATACCAGCCCATTCAGTTATCCTCCCCGGTTCTATTTTACTCAATTTTTATTATTATTATTTTTTTAATGCTGGAGATTGAACCCAGGGCTTCACACATGCAAGGCAAGTGTTCTACTATTAAGGCACATCCTCACACATGCAAGGCAAGTGTCCTACTACTACTAAGCCACATCCTATTTTTATTCTTTAAAAGATACACTCTAGAGAGAGTACTGCGGGCGGGGTCCTTTGCCTTGCATACAGCCAATCTGGATTTGATCCCCAGCATCCCCTATGGTACCCAGCACTGCCAGGAGTAATTCCTCCGTGCTGACCTGGAGTAGTCCCTGTGGCTCACAAAACCAAAACTAAACTAAAAGTAAAATACACTCTAGAGGGTCAAAGATAATACAGTGGGTAGGGGGCTGCCTTGCATGCAGCTGACTTGGGTTCTAGCCCTGGTACCTGCACATGATCCCTGAGTGCAGAGCCAGGAGTAAGCCCTGAGCATCTGGGTGTGACCCCCTCCCCAACAAAACAAAAATACACACAAACACAGACACAGATATACACACACACATACCGACACACAGACACACACACACACAGACACACACACACACACACACACACACACACACCACTAGAGCGGGGGCAGCAGCAGGTTGTATTTTGCCTTGGAAGAGCCCAGGTTTGGTCCTTGGCACAGTCCCCAAACCACCACTGCTGTGGCCCCAAAACCAAACGAAACACAAAACTTTAAAAGAAAAAATCTAAACATGAAAAAAAAAATTTTAAACAGTTCAGAGGGGACTCCCATTCATGGACGCACTCCAGGTTTATTCTCAGGCGTCACTCATTTCTCAGTGCTCAGGAGTGGCTCATTTCTTAGTGCTCTCATTCCCAGCAGTGCTGGGGCTCACACCGGAGCCGCCCATGGGGAAACCACATGCTCTGTCCCTTGAACTCTCTCCTGACCTTCAGAGACAGTTTTAACTCCTTTGGCTGTTTCTTCTGGAGATTCACCCATAATTTTAAGAAACCTCTTGTCACCAACGTTGATAGAGTTGCCACCTGGGAACATCACTTGTTTGTTGCTTACCTTCTCTATTTTCATCATGTGTTTCTCTTTTCCTTAAATAGCTGTCCTGGGTGGGTTATGACTGCCGTGTTTTTGTGTCTTCACAGAATTGTGTAGCCACAATGGCAGAAGATTCTCTCCCTTTTTTTTTTTTTTTTTTGCTTTTTGGGTCATATCTGGCAATGCACAGAGATTTCTCCTGGCTCTGCACTCAGGAACTACTCCTGGCGGTGCTTGGGGGACTGTATGAAATGCTGGGAATTGAACCCAGGTCAGCTGTGTGCAAGGCAAATGCCCTATCCGCTGTGCTATCGCTCCAGCCCCAAGATTCTCTTTTTAAAGATGTTTATTACTTAAGATTGTATTGATTTACCAGTGGTTTGCAAAACTTTATTTTTAGAACACTTGGTTCACTCATAAAGAAACTCTGTGCCCATCAGTGCACGCCCAAGATTCTATCTCCCCAGCCCTAAGCAACTAACTTACTTCCTGTGTCTATGGGCTTGTCCAGAATAGAAATGTGACCCTCGCAGTGAGGTCCTGTGTGTCTAGCTCTGTTCACTGGGGGCAATGGGCCTGCCAGCAATTCCCACAAGGAAACAAGCTCTGAGCAGACCACCCTTCTGCAGAGTCCCTCGAGAACATAATGAACACAAGGGTATTTTTAATCCTTTTTTTTTTTTGGTGGTAGGGGGAAGGTGTACCTGCCTATGCTCACAGCTTACTCCTCACGCTGCGCTCAGGAGTCACTCCTGGTGGCCTTGGGGGACCTAGATTGGATGCATGCAAGACCTTACTGCTATACTGCCTCTCCAACCTCCTAATGCTTTTTTTGTGGGGGAGGGGGCGGCACACACAATATTCAGGGGTTACTCCTGACTCTGCACTCATGAATTACCCCTGGTGGTGCTTGGGGACCATATGGGGTGCCAGGGATCAAACCAGGTAGGCCACATCTAAGGGAAGCATCCACTTGCTCTACTATGGCCCCAGCCCCATCCTAATGCATTTTTTTTTTTTTAAGAGAAGTGCCAGAACAAACAAAGAAGTGAATAAGTCAAGACAGCTGCTCTAGGGGCTGGAGCAATAGTACAGCGGGTAGGGCATTTGCCTTGCATGTGGCCGACCCAGGTTCAATTCCCAGCATCCCATAGGGTCCCCTGAGCACAACCAGAAGTAATTCCTGAGTGCATGAGCCACGAGTAACCCCTGTGCATCGCTGGGTGTGACCCCAAAAGAAAAAACAAAACAAAACAAAACAAACAAAAAAAAGCCAGATAGCTGCTCCAGTTCATCAATTTTGCCTCTAGGAATTCACTAAAATGATAACAAAATGATAGTTTTTTTTTTCTTCCTACCCATTTATGCCTATGCACTGTGCTATTGCTCCAGCCCAGTGGGTGAGACCAAGAAACCCAAGAGGGGTCTTCAGGCCCCCCGGACACTGCTGGGGAGGCATTCTCTCCCCTCCCCCCCCACAAAGAAAGCTTTGCCTCACCAGAGGCTGAGTTGTTAGTCCCTGAGTATGGTGCAAAAGGGATGAGAGTGGGGGTTTTGGGTCTTGGCGTCTGCGCATCCCTCCTCTCTATACCTAGGTTACTCTGTGGATCAGCTCTAGGCTCCATGGCCTGGTCCCAAGCAGATGCCAGTTTCCGAGTGACCAGACTCACCTGTGGTCTGAGTGACGCATGAAATCTTGTAAAACATCCAGACGCTCGCCATGCACAGGAAGGTGGCCACAAACCCAAAGATCTGACCGGAGAGAGGAAGGAACATTTTATTTATATATGTAATTTTTTTGTGGACGGAACATTCTAGAGCAGGCCTGTTCCCCTGGGCTCCTGCTGAGGCCTGCTGGAGGGAGCTAGGGGTCTCCCACACAATCCTCCCTCTGGTCCTCACTCAGGCACAAAGGTGCCCTATTCCCCACAAAACCTTGGGGGCCGATCCCCCTGGGGCCTGTTCTCCATACTGTCCCTCCCTCCTACCGACGTACCCCCGCTGTTGTATTTTCATTATCCTGAAAGATCAAAGAAGGAAAAGGTGGGATTCTAAGTTTTGCTTTGGATTTTAAAAATGCCATTCTTCAGGGGCTGCAGAGATAGAGTACAGTAGGTAAGGTGCTTGTTGCCTTGCATGAAGCTGACCTGAGTTCAATCCCCAGCACCCCAGGTGGTCCCAGACTCCTTCAGGGGTGATCCTTCAGCTCACAGGAGAAAACCCTGAGCACAGCTGGGTATGGCCCCAACAACCAAAATCAATTTTTTTTTTTTAATAAAGAGGGACCAGGGCAATAGTACCCTGCTTAGTGTGGTGACCAACCCCCTCTCTCAAAAAAAAAGGCCAAAAAAAATGTGTCACTCTTCAAAAGGGCTTTATCATGGAGGTGATTCTGCTCATGCCACATGTTTTAAAAAAATTTTTATTAGTGAATCACCGTGAGGTAGTTACAGACTTACAAACTTTTGTGCTTGCGTTTCAGTCATACAATGACCGAGTACCCATCCCTCCATCAGTGCCATTTTTCCACCACCAATGGTCCCAGCATCCCTACCCCCACCCCCTACCCCATCCCCTTCACCCCACCTCGCCTCTGAGTCATGTTACATTCTTATTTTGCTTTTTGGGCCACATTCAATAATGCTTAGGGGTTACTCCTGACTCTGAACTCAGGAATTACTCCTGGCGGTGCTCGGGGGACCACATGAGATGCCGGGGATTGAACCCGGGTGCCAGGCAAATGCCCTCCCTACTATATTATTGCTCTGGCCATTATGCCTCATTCTTGATGGTGCTCTGCTGTCCGATAGCACAGTGGGTAAGGTGTTTGCCTTGCACGTGGTTGACCCAGTCAGCCCAGGTTCGATTCCTCCGCCCCTCTTGGAGAGCCCGGCAAGCCATCGAGAGTATCTCCCCTGCCTGGCAAAGCCTGTCAAGCTACCTGTGACGTATTCGATATGCCAAACACAGTAACAAGAAGTCTCACAATGGAGATGGTACTGGGCCTGCTCGAGCAAATCAGTGAACAACGGGAGGACAGTGCAATGCAGTGCAGTGCTCTGCTGTCTGGCTTTCCTGCTGAGTGGCCCTGGGTAGAGGCCGTCACTTGGACTTAAGCACATTCTAGACAATGTGCGGGTAGTACCCCTTTCTTCCCGAGGGGTGGCCTAGTGCTCACATGGGAAATGGGGCCCCTGGACAGACCACTAGAACAGAGAAGAAAGGGCATTGCCAGGGGCTCAGGTAGCAGGTACAGCTGGGAGCAGATGACAGGCGGTGTTTAAGGTCTGGTTTGTTTTTTTTTTTCTTTTTGGGTCACACCCAGCGATACACAGGGGTTACTCCTGGCTCATGCACTCAGGAATTACTCCTGGCGGTGCTCGGGGGACCATATGGGCTCCTGGGAATAGAACCCAGGTCGGCCGCATGCAAGGCAAACGCCCTACCTGCTGTGCTATTGCTCCAGCCCAGGTCTATTTTTATTTCCACCCTGGTTTACACAAGCAGCTGCCCCTGCCACCCCCCTTAACACCCCCCCCTCCCTGGCCCCCTTTCTTTAGCTCCCTTTGTACCGACTGTCTGCACCACATCACTGAGTCTATTCGAGCCAGGCCTGGCCTCTCACTGTCTGCTCTGCACAATCAGTACATTGGATGGCGCATCCTGGACTCCAGCCATCACCGCCGCATGACAGAGCGCTTCATGATGTCGTGCCCTGCCCTCGGGGTGACAATGCCCTGTTTGCTGGCTGGCCAACGCCTGGGCCTCCAGTCCCGAGTAGCTGGAGGCGCATCTCTATCCCTCAGCTGGCTCCCTCTCAAGGTTGCCCAGCGACAGTGGGGCTGACTGGGGTCTCAGGGTCACTCTGCCACATGCAACTTGAGTCAAACAGCTGGGGTTCGGGGAACATGGTGGGTTTCCTGCTGACTCCTACAGACCCCTTGTCCCTGGGAAGTCCCAGGCACTGAGCTTCACTGTATCACACTGTCACACACATTGGCTCAGACTCACAGCTCATGAGTGAGGCCAGTCAGTGCTGGCTGCAGGCCACTGAACTGTGCCAGTTAGTGCCACTGAACCCAGATGTCATGATGACAGGATTTTTTTTTTTGGTGGAGGTGGGGGCATCCCTGTTGGGGGCTCAGGGTCTACTTCCAGTTCAGTGTCTGGGGGACCAGGTAGAGCTGGAGCTGAGCCTCCTGCGTGCAGACCATACTCTGTGTCCTGTTGCTCTCTCCCCATTTTATAGTCATTCAGAAGGACGCACAGCGCCATTTCCTATAATGCGATCAGTGTTCAGCCTTTCGGCAGATGCGTTTTCTTTCCTCTTCCCCTCCCCCCCTTTTTTTCTTTCAAAGGTTTTTGAGTCACATCTGGCATGCTCACGGCTTACTCCTGACTCTGTGCTCAAGGACAACTCCTACTGGGGCTCAGAGGACCATATGGGGTGCCAAGGATCAAACTCAGGTCAGCCCCATGCGAGGCAAGTGGCCAACCCAGTGCATTATCGCTCAGGTCCCATCAGATGGATGTATTTTTTTTCTCTCTCTCTCTTTTTTTTTTTTTTTTTTTTTGCTTTTTGGGTCATACCTGGTGATGCACAGGGGTTAGTCCTGGCTCTGCACTCAGGAATCACAAACGCCCTATCCGCTGTGCTATTGCTCCAGCCCCTGTATTTTCTTTCTTATTTGGGTGGGGTGGGGTTTGCAGAGGGGGGGTGGGACTACACCAGGTGATGCCCAGGGGTTACTCCTGACTCTGCGTTCAGGGGTGACTCCTGGCAAGGCTGTGGGGAGTGGACCATGTAGGATGCCAGGGGTCAAAATCAGACTGGCAGTATGTAGGGCAAATGCCCTACCCACTGTACTAGCTCCCTAGCTCCGATGAATACATTTTCTGTGTGTGAAAGGTGTGAGCATGCTACTTCCCAAAAGCTGCAAATGGCACCACTCGACACCTTGGCTGGTACCTCTCTCCCCTCAGAGGCTTCACACCTTCCTCTGCACACACTGGCTGCGGCAGCCCCGAGCAATGAGCAGAGGGGACCATTCATGAGCAGCTGCGCCCTGGAGCCCAGTACAGTGGCTGGCAGAGAGGCCAGGCTTCTGGGCCATTTGAATCTGTCCTCCCCAAATCTCCTCCTGTGACTCCCCCCCTCCCCGGTGGGCCCAAATGGGAGGCTCTCTGGGGACAGCCGCTAGGTGGGTGAAGATGGATCCCAATTTCATACGGCCCCCCCCTCAGGAAATAGCATGTGGCCAGAAGGTTCTAGAAGGTTCTCACCGCGCCGGCGACCAGTCCGCTCTGGCTGTAGCTCTTGGAGGCGGCCACGATGGAGGCGATGAGGAGGAGCAGGGTGCCAATGACGTAGTGCAGCAGCTCCTGGGGACACAGAGAACGGGCGCTGGGTGGGGCGCGGTCTCAGGAGAGGAGTGGGAGGGGGGCACTCCCTCTTTGCCCAGGGACCCCATCCACCTAAGCAGGCCCAGCGGCCAAAGCTGCCCGACATCAGGAGAGTTTTCTTCTTGCCCACCAGCAGGAGAGTTTCGGCCAAGTCCCGGTTCTGACAACCCAAGTCCCCTCAACAGATAGTCCTTTTTGCTACTGCTGCATCCCCTCTTCATAAAGGAGAATGTGCCTGTCACAGAGTTGGGGGAGGGGGGGAGGGGAATGAGGTGGGGGTGATGGGAGGGATACTGGGAACATTGGTGGTGGAGAACGGGCACTGGTAGCGGGATGAGTACTTGATCATTGTATGACTGAAACGTAAGCATGAAAGTCTGTAAGTCTGTAACTGTACTTACGGTGATTCACTGAAAAAAAAATCACTGTATCACTGTCATCTCACTGTTTATCGATTTACTCGAGCTGGCACCAGTAACTCCCCATTCGTCCCAGCCCTGAGATTTTAGCAGCCTCTCCTTACTCATCTTTTCCAATGCTGCCGTATTGGAGGCTCTTTCAGGGTCAGAGGAATGAGACCCGTTATTGTTACTGTTTTGGGCATACCGAATATGCCATGGGTAGCTTGCCAGACTCTGCCATCATTAAAAAATAAATAAAAATTAAAAAAAAATAAAAAACGACAAAAAATAAATAAAATTAAATTAAAATAAAATGGGTGGTAAATAAGTGGCATAGATTATTGGAAGCATCAAATAAGATTGTGTGCATAGACCACTAAACACTGTGCCTTGTTACATTTAAGCAATAAACCATAACTTATGACAAAAAAAAAAGGAAAAAAAGAAAGTTCTGGCCTAACAGCATGCTGGCCTCCTAGTGGCCATCCAGGAGCTGAGCAAATGTCCCCTGCTCAGCAACTGGCACCTCATGGTCCCCAAGCACTACTGTCTCCAAAACCGAAAAAAAAATGAAAGCACGTGGAATCTGTGCAGGGCTCTCAGCGGGATCCCCCGAACCCTGCACCAGCGCAGGGGGGCACTCGTGCACAGGAGCCCAGGTTCAAGGGAATCTTTGTTGTGTATTTGGGCCACACCTCGCAGTGCTCGGGGACCTGATGCAGTGCCAAGGATTGAATTAGCGTTGGCCATATTCTAAGTCAGTGCCTCACCCGCTGTCCTCTCTCTCTCCACTTCTTCTACTTCTCCCCTTTTCCTTGTTGTCTATTGTGGAGGAGGTCACCCCTACACACAGAGCGATGAATCCTGATATTCCACAAAACTATAGAGCAATGAAAAGTTGATTTTAAAAATTATTTTTCAAAGATTGTCTTTTGGGGGGCTGGAGCAATAGCACAGGTGGGTAGGGTGTTTGCCTTGCAGATGGCCGACCTGGGTTCAATCCCCGGCATCCCATATGGTCCCCTGAGCACTGCCAGGAATAATTCCTGAGTGCAAAGTCAGGGGTAACCCCTGAGCGTTGCTGGGTGTGACCCAAAAAGGAAAAAAAAAGATTGTCTTCTGGGGTATAGCAGATAGATCACTCGCCTTGCACGCGGCCGACCCGGGTGTAGTTCCTGGCATCCCATATGGTCCCCTGAGCACCACCAGGAGTGATCCCTGAGCCCAGAGCCAGGTGTAAGCTCTGAATATTGCCAGGTGCATCTCCAAATTCAAAAAAGAAAAAAAATTTTTTTTCACAGGTATGTACATTTTTAAAAATTATAGTATGAATAACTCTATGCTGATCCCAGCATCTCCTTTGGAACAGCAGCAGCTGAAGGAAGTCATGCATCTGTTTGTCTCCTGCAGACCAGAGAGCCGTCTCACAAGGCAGAGCAAAGGTCTGCAAGAAAGAGAACACTAGTGGTGGGAAATTCCCCACCTCCAAGATTCTCACCCGTGTGGGAGGTGGAGGGGCTGGATGGCCCTTGTGGCTGAGTTCATATCTTGAGTGTGTGAGGCCTTGGGCTTGATCTCCATATTGTAATAATAATAATAATAGTAATAATAATGAGAAAGAAAAACTGGAGGAGGGGTTGGAGAGATAGCACAGCAGGTAAGGCACTTGTTCTGCATGTGGTTGACCTGGGTACGATCCCTGGCATTCCAGAGGGTCCACAAAGCATCGCCAGGAATGACGAGTCAGTGCAGAACTAGGAGTAACCCTTGAGCATCACCAGGTGTAGCCAAAACACAAAACAAATCTGGAGAGGATGTGGCTGCCAGGGAACCCTCAGGAGAGCACTAACTAGCCAGGAGGCAGTGACTGAGGCTGGTTCAGCCACGCAAAGGCCTCCCGGCACTCAGCCTTCAGCCCTCCTTCCTCGGACCCTGCTTCTATTCTCACTCGCAGAATGTTCCTCAGAGAAGCTGGAGAAACTTGTTCTCAGAAGCAGGGCACGGCTTTGAAAGAGGTCACAGGAATATGAATATTTTAAGAAAATGAACTGACGAATTCAATCTCAAAATTCGTGTGTGGGGCTGAAGCAATAACACAGCGGGTAGGGCGTTTCACTTGCATGCGGCCAACCCGGGTTCGATTCCCAGCAGCCCATATGGTCCCCCGAGCACCACCAGGAGTAATTCCTGAGTGCATGAGACAGGAGTAACCCCCTGTGCATTGCCGGGTGTGACGCAAAAATAAAATAAAATAAAATAACATAGTGTGATATAATGTTATGAGTAATTAAATGATGTAATGTTATAATGTGCGAATGATTCAATGATTTCATTAGGGAGCAGAGGTGGTCAGACTATGACACACATACACAATGGGATACGACTCGGCCATTAGAAAGATGATAAAGTCATGCAGTTTGCTGCCACTTGGAGGGATCCAGAGAGTCTCATGCTGAGTGAGGCTGGAGAGAGACCGACACAGAATGATCTCTCTCATGTGCGCGGCACGAGGAAACATAACGTGGGATTAATGAACAACCGAAGACAATGGGAACAAAGACCATGAGCACTGGTATTCGGCAGGAAGCCTACCACCAGAGGCCGCCCGGAACAGGACAGGGAGGGGGCAACAGCTATGAGGGAGGGAAGAGCAACGGGAATAATAGGAGGAGGAGCTGCAAGGTGGTGAAGTGTCGTGTATGAAACCCTGCTGGCAACAGTACCGTGAAGTACGATGCAAAACTTACATACTTTATAAAAAAGTGCCCCTCGTAGAGGCAGACTGCTGGGTGGGAGGGAAATGGGGGGAGGAGGGAAAACGGTGGAGGGAAGTGGGCCTGGCGAAGGGACTGGTGTTGAAATGATGCATGCCTGAAACCCAATCATGAAGAAGGAGGGAGGAGGAGGGAGGAGGGAGGAGGAGGAGGAGGAGGAGGAAGGAGAATAAGAAGGAGGAGGAGGAGGAGGAAGGAGGAGGAGGAGGAGGAGGAGGAAGGAGGAAGAGGAGGAGGAGGAGGAGGAAGGAGGAAGAGGAGGAGGAAGGAAGAGGAGGAAGGAGGAGGAGGAGGAAGGAGGAAGAGGAGGAAGGAGAATAAGAAGGAGGAGGAGGAAGAGGAGGAGGAAGGAGGAGGAGGAGGAGGAGGAAGGAGGAGGAGGAGGAGGAAGGAGAATAAGAAGGAGGAGGAGGAGAAGGAAGGAGGAGGAGGAGGAAGGAGAATAAGAAGGAGGAGGAGGAGGAGGAAGGAGGAGGAGGAAAGAGAATAAGAAGGAGGAGGAGGAGGAGGAGGAGAAGGAGGAGGGAGGAGGAAGGAGGAGGAGGAGGAGGAGAAGGAGGAGGAGGAAGAAGGAGGAGGAGGAGGAAGGAGAATAAGGAGGAGGAGGAGGAGGAGGAGGAGGAAGAAGAAGAAAGGAGGAGGAGGAGGAAGGAGGAGGAGGAGGAAGAAGAAGAATAAGAAGAGGAAGAAGAAGAAGAAAAAGGAGGAGGAGGAGGAAGAGAGAAAAAGGGAAGAAGGACGAGGAGGAGGAGGAGAAGGAGAAGAAATGGTCAGATTGAATAAAATAAAAGAAGATGGGGGCCATCTAGAGTGATCCTACAGCAGATGCATGTCTTGTGTGCATCTGACCCAAGTTCCATCTCTGGCATATGACAAAGCCAAGACTAAGCTCTGAGCACTGCCAACTGTGGCCCCCAAACAAAAGAAAAACCGGAAACACAAGAATGTTTTTTCATTCAAACATACAACAGGTTAAAAGTAGTGCAATAAATAATGTTAGATGTGAATGATTAAATGATCTAATTAGGAAGCCGAGGTGATCAGACTGGATAAAACTAAATAAGATGGGGGCTGGAGAGACAGTACTGAGATAAGGCATTTGCCTTGCATGTGGCACTGGGGTTCAATCCCAGGCACCAACATAGGTTCCTGAGCACCCCAGGAGTGATCCCTCTGCAAAGGTGTATGTGACCCAAAAACAAAAATATAAAAAATGAGAATCTAATGGGACAGAGCGATAGGTAGGGGGTACAGCAGGTAAGGGGCTTGCCTTGCACTCAGCTGACCATATGGTCCCTTGGGCACCGGCAGGAGTAATTCCTGAGTGTAGAGCCAAGAGTAAGTCCTGAGCATTGCCAGGTATTGTGCCCACACTCCCTCAAAAAAAATTAGAAGGGGCTGGAGCGATAGCACAGCGAGTAAGGCGTTTGCCTTGCACGCAGCCAACATGGCCGACACAGGTTCGATTCCCAGCATCCCATATGGTCCCCCGAGCACCGCCAGGAGTAATTCCGGAGTGCATGAGCCAGGAGTAACCCCTGAGCATCGCTGGGTGTGACCCAAAAAGCAAAAAAAAAATTAGAAGGTGGGAGAATATATATTTATGCAAACAGCAACCACAAGGAAACTGAAAGGGGCGGGTGAGTGAGGTTCAGTGTGAAGCACAGTCCCTGCATGTGTGAGACTCTGGGTTCAATCCCTGGCACTGCAATGAACAACGGGGAAGGAAATGGGAGTGGCTATACTAGCACCAGACAATAAAGATTTTTTAAAAAATGAATGGAAATGTGGGGGACAGGGGGTAGATAAGATAGAGGAGGGGCCAGTGGGACAACAATAGTTGGAAATAACCACTCTGGACAAAGAACTGAATGTTGAAAGTAGATAAAGGGATATACATGACAACTTCCAGCATCTGCATTACATATCAGAATGCCTAAAATGAGAGACAGAGATAGAGACAGAGATACAGAGGGGCGGGGGTGTCTGCCACAGAGGCAGGCTGGGGTAGGGTGGATTTGGGGTTAGACGGGAGGGAACCTGGGGACACTGGTGCTGGGAAATGACACTGGTGGACGGATGGGGGTTGGAATATTGTCATGCATGAAACCCAATGCATGACAGCTTTGGAATGCTCTGTCAGTAAAAACAATGAGAGAGAGAACAAGGGGGGATGCCCTGCCACAGAGGCGGGGGGGATGGGGGGATGGGGGGTGGGAGAGATGCTGGGACCCGTGGTGGTGGAGGATGGGCGCCGGTGGAGGGATGGGTACTTGATCATTGTGTAACTGAAACCCAAGCACAAAAATTTGTGAGTCTATAACTGTATCTCATGGTGTTTCACTAATAAAAACAAAAACAATAAAAATATTTTTTATTTTAATTAAAAAAATGAATGAAAATGCACTGTAGCACTGTCCTCCCGGTTGTTCATCGATTTGCTCGAGTGGGCACCAGTAATGTCTCAAAAATTGTGAGAGTTGTTGTTACTGTTTTTGGCATATCGCATACGTCACGGGGAGCTTGCCAGGCTTTGCTAATTTCAACACTATAGTTCTATTCCGTAGTATGGTATATTTCATTCCTAAAAGGAGTGAAAATGAAGACATAATACACCATACTACGGAATACAACTATAGTGTTGAAATTAGCATGTTAATACATGGCATGTACAATATATAAAGAATGCAAATTTCTCAAAGAAATTTATAACTATAGACGCCAGTATTCAACTAGAATAAAGGCCTTAAGTTCATAACTCTGGCAAAGACAGTGATGGGGCTGGGAGAGAACTAACCCTCAAGGAAATAAAGGTTAGAACAGGAATCAGCGGCTGCTCCTGCTGCCGTGAGAGGCGGGAGGAAGAGGGAGGAAGAGCTCAAACGCAGAGATTTCTTTTCTTTAGTAAAATAGTTTTTTTTTTTTTATTTCTGTGTTTTAATTGGTTTCTGGCCCACACCTGTCTGTGCCCAGGGATAACTCCTGATGGTGCTGGGAATTGACCTGGTTTCAGTTGCCTGCAAGGCAAGTCCCTTAACCCCTGTAACTATCTCCTCAACCTTGAGATAAAAGAGTAAAATTGGGGAGGTTGGGTGGGTGGGGGCGGGGAGGGTAGGAGAGAAAAGAAAAACATGGGCTTCTCCAGTGTGTGCATGTGAAACAGGATTGTTTTCTGAGGTGATGAAAACACCCTGAAATTGACTGTGGTGATGGTTACACAACTCTGGAATACACTAAAATCCATTGAACGAGAGATAGAGATGGGGGGGGAGAGAGAGAGAGAGAGAGAGAGAGAGAGAGAGAGAGAGAGGGAGGGAGAGGGAGGGAGGTGCCAGGGAGCTTACTCAGGGTCTCAAACACAAAATCCAAGAGCTCTACTGCCAAGCTGAATTTATTACATACTTCTCATGAGTGAACAGTATGAGCATGTGAACAATCTACCAATAAAACTGGTTTTAAAAAACAAGATACCAGACCCACCATGATTATTTGAGATTTTACCCCAACACTCAGATCTGGTGAAAAGGCAAGGTAGGGGAGGGTGTGGGATGGGGGTATACTGGGGTTGTTGGGGGTGGAGAATGGGCACTGGTGAAGGTACGGGTGTTTCACTGTATGACCGAGACTTAGACCCGAAATCTTTGTAACTGCTCTCACGGTGATTCAATAAATAAAATTATAAAAAAAAAAGTAAGGTGGAGTTCATGCCCAATTCAATAGCAGTACTCGCCGACCCGAGTTCGATTCCTCTGCTCCTCTCGGAGAGCCCGGCAAGCTACCGAGAGTATCTCGCCCACACGGTAAAGCCTGGCAAGCTACCCATGATGTATTCGATCTGCCAAACACAGTAACAAGTCTCACAATGTTACTGCGCCCGCTCGAGCAAATCGATGAACAATAGGAGGACAGTAACAGTGTGACAGTGACTCCTACATAAAAAAATGATAAAATCAATAAATAAAATTAAAAAAACAAAAAACAAGACAGTGGAAAGAAAACTCTGCTTTCTGTCTCCTCTGGCCATGGAAGCAGCGGAAACGTTTCTAGTCGCCACTCAGCTTGGCTCTCTCACCTATGCCAGGGCACCTCTTTCCTGGTCCTCTCTCTGAGGTTCCTACACCCAGGGCCCGCCTGCCCTCCCCTCAGGCGGACAATGGGCGGGAAGGGGAGTCTGTGCACAAGCCTGGACACCCAGCGCGGGGAGGAGCCACGCTGAGGGCGCGGAGCATGCTGGGGGGAGGGGAAGCTGGGAAGGGCGGGGTGCAGTCTTCCTTACCGACAGGGGCCAGCTGATGCAGGTGAGCGCACGGTAGACCCGGAAGAGGTGCACCAGGTAGAAGGCCAGGATCATGATCAGGTTGCAGATGGTGACCACCTCGAAATAGCTGTAGGCGCTGTAGCTGGTCCACAGGGAGCTCCTCACGCAGATGAAGGCGATGAGCAGAGTGACCTGCGACACCAAGGCAAGGAAGTTGGGGCTCAGCCCAGAACGCAGATGGAGTCCTCCCACGGGGGCCGGGAGAGATGCTTTCCTCCCCCAGGGGCAGTGCTCCTCATCCACACCCGGCCCAAACCTGCCTGCTCGTGGGACAGGAGCCTCAGGGCTAAGTGCTCAGGGGGGTTGCAGAGTCAATGGATGTTTCTGGTTGAACCCAAGCTTATGGCCTAAATGCATGGTTTGGAGCCACATTTACATGGCTCAGATGTGCCAGCCTCGCAGTGGCAGCAGTACATCACCAGGGTCATACACCTGTACACTGCAGGGCCCTGCCAGAGAGCAGAGTCACCCCTTGGGGAGAGAGGGGAGAGGGAAACTGAGGCATGCCGGCTCAATAATGCTTCCAACTCTGGGTTCAACGGGACCAGGAATGGAGATACTCTGCCCATTTCCCCCTGTCTTCAGGGACCCAGAGGTCATGCCCATAAACCACCTCCTGCCTGTGCACCAGAGAATCTCATCATCAGCCACCATCTAGATCACACGGCTTTCTCTCCTGAAAGAGAGCAACATGACGCCCGCCATAGCAATGCCACCAGACCCAGCACCAGGCTGTTTCACTTGGGGATCCCAGAGGGGCAGGTGAGAGCCTTCCCCGCCCCAAGGGACCCAGCTCCAGCAGCCAGAACCCAACCGCCACCCTGCTCAATGCTGTTCCCCACGCGCTTGGGCTGAGCCTCATGCACAAGTGAACCTATTCCTGTACCAAGCAGCCAGGACACATCGAAAGACTCTCGCTACCCATTCTCCAAGAGTACCACAGCACATTAGATGGGGTTCAGATAGTAGGCAACCAATCATACAGGGAAATATATATATATATATATATATATATATTTCAGATATATATACAAAAGTTCACATCACTAAATCTTTAACATGTTAGTGATATCCTACAGAAGGTCTTAATGGCCCCTGCCAAAATAAAACACTCTTCACACTGTTTCCTCTATGGATACTTTTTGTAGCATTTTCAGCAGTTTTTCATAACAAACAATACAAAATATATTACTTTGGTTGTGCTTTGGGACAGGGATTGGAGCTTGGGATGCAAACATCCCAAATATGGTGGTGGGATTGGATATTAAATATAATTAAATATTTGAATATTAAATATAATTACATATTGTGAACTACCTTATAAAATGAAAAAGAAAAAACATAAAAAAGAAAAAAAAATAACGCGTTCAAGTTTACCTAGCTTGGGCAAGCAGGTATTCCCCCAACCTGTTGTGCTTCTTGTCAAGCTGATGAGCAGGAGTGGCTACAGTGTGCCCCGGAGCCTGTATGCCCTCTGCTGCTGTACAGGGCTGGAACTTCAGCAGGCTGGCCTAGTCAATCACTGCCAAGTCCCATCCCGGGGGTAGGACCCGAACCCAGGTTTGTCCATCCCGAGACACTGTTCCTCCAGGTCCAGTGTAGTTTGGTTCAGTTTGGGTCTATCCCAGGGCTACTCTCAGTTCTGTGTTTGGAGGCTGCTCCTGGCAGAGCTCGGCGAGGGGACCCTGTGTGGTGCTGGGGATTGAACAGGGGGTGATCGCATGCAAGGCAAGCGCCCTCCCCTCTGCACTGTGTCTGATGCATTTGCCTTCACCAACCTTCCACATAAGTGGGCGGAGGAAGCTGGGTAAAGGAGATGCCCGGAGCCTGCTCCTCCCGGATGTGGCCAGAGGCTGGCTGCTAGGCCCAGCGGTGCGCAGAGGAAGGAATGCACAGAGCCCACAAGTGCCTTGGAAATGCCATGAGGAAGCAGACTGGGAATAAGGCCAAGCCTGAGTTTTGGTGATGATTCCGCAAAGAGAATCAACTCTCGTTGGCATCGGGAGGGACTAAGCCAGCAACGTCCAGGTGTTAAGATGCACAGACCTTCAGATCTATGATAAAAGCACAATGAGTTGAGGACTCATGTAGTCTCCTATCTGGCAATGTGTGTGTGTGCACACGTAGAGACTGTGAGTGGAACACCACACATCAAATCATGCAGTGGCTCTAAGTCTGGGTAAGGCGGTCAGTGAGTGTCAGTTCTGCCACTCTCCTCCTTGCACTATCTGCAGCAACGGGGACAACAGCAAGAGGGTAACTTTTATTTTTTTTGGGGGGGGGGCAAGGAGGGGGCAAATGTGCTCATGGGGCTCAGTCCCACTCCTGGTGACACCTGGCAATGTAGACTGGACAGTTCCATATGTGGGCCCAGGATGCAGTGCTGCTTGAGCCGGTGGGGTCGGGGGGGGACAGCAGGATCACCCTGGTGATGCTCAGGGGTCACTGGAGTCACACTGGGAAGATCTGAGGGATCCTCTTGGCTCAGGGATAGCACTGGGCTCAGTGCTTCCCTAACCCTTGGCCTCTGGCAAAGAACTTTTGGCTCGAAGCTTCGAGTATGAAGAGGGTCTTGCCTGACAGGCTAAAACCAGAAAAATGTGAGCGTGACTCAGAAGACCCTCAACATTTGCGTATCCCCCTTTGCTAATGAGCAAAGTGAAGATTTTCATGTTTCAGTTCCTCTCGGGGTACTTAGGCATGGTAATAGAGTGACTCAGTCCTCACAGCGGTCGTAGAGTTCCGCGGGGAGGCCTGTGCGGGACCATCAGGGTGAGGCACTCTCCTCACTCTCCATTCCCAGGCTTCTTCAATCTGAGGCGTTTAGGACTCTTCCCAAGTCTTGCACCAACTCCCTTATGTGCTGGGGCATTCTGAAATTCAAGGCTCGCCATAAACGTGCTGAGAATTCCAGACTGTTGCAGTATGGGAGAAGCACTTTTGCACCAAATTGATGCAAATATTCCAATATTAGAATAATTCTACAACTCTTCATCTGTGACAGAATCTGCTCTTCTCGTGGTGACCAACCAGGGCATGGGAGTTTCCCCAGGAACAAAGGGGGCCTGGGCCTGTCCTCCCCACTGATCTCGGGGGGCTGATGCCATAGGGCAGGAAGTACTCTGCAGCTCCAGACAGTTCCAACGTTTCTGGGAAACCGGCTCGTGAAATGACACTCGAACTCTGTCTGTTTGGCCCAAGGTGGCCTCTCATGGACAGTCTTACTCTCTTATTTAGGCCAATTCTGGACATTTAATTTTGGCAGCAGATGCTGTATACTTATTGGGTGCTATGCTAAATGCTGCCCTCGTGGGCCAGAGCGATAGTACAGCAGGTACATTTGCCTTGCACGCGGCCAACCCAGCTTCCTATCCCTGGTATTCCATATAGTCCCCCGAGCACCACCAGAAGTCATTTCTGAGTGCAGAGCCAGGAGTACCCCCAGAGCATTACTGTTTTTTAGGGTGTGACCCTAAAAGCCAAAAATAAATTAATATAGAAATAAAGCATTGCCCTTGTGGCCAAGGATCCACTCATATTTAGCCAGTATCTTAGTGCACTAAAATAACTTGTGTGCGTATGTGGACACAAAAGTTTTCAAGAACTCTCCTACAAGGCTGGGGAGTTGGTTGCTGGAGGGCATGATGCCTGGCATATGTGAGGCTCAAGCACCATGAGGTATAGCCCTGTTGGCCGCAGCACCTTGGGACATAGTCCAGAGAGATCTCTCCTGGGGCCAGGAGGTGACCTGGGCTAATGCGGAAGATGCCCGCATCACATAGATCCCTGCTCTGTGAATGTGACCCCAGAAGAGGTCATGTAATTGAGTGTAGAGGCTGAAAAAAACTTAAAAATTTTGCTTTCGCAGAGACTGACACACGTCTAAAAGAACAAGAACAATCAGTGCTGGCGCTGATGCAGGGAGAAAGGGATTCTCATTCACAGTTGCTGGGAATGCCAACTGGTCCAGCCTTTTTGGAAAACAATATGGACATTCCTCAAAAAACTAGAAATTGAACTCCCATTTGATCCAGTTAATACCACTTCTGGGAATATACCCTAGAGGTCCAAAAACAGAAACAACATCTGCACTCCTATGTTCATTGCAGCACTATTCACTATAGCCAGAATCTGGAAATAACCTGAATACCCAAGAACAGAAGAATGGATAAGGAAAATATAGTACAACTACACAATGGAATATTATGTAGCCTAGGAAGAAATAAGTCATAAAATTTTCTTACAAATGGATGGACATGGAGAGTATCATGCTTAGTGAAATCAGTCAGAAGGAAAGGAATCCTGACCCTTTAAGGCGAGGGTAAAAGGGCCACGAGGATTGGTCTAAGGGTGGAAGCTTGCCATAAGAGTGTGTGTGTGTGTGTGTGTGTGTGTGTGTGTGTGTGTGTGTGTGATAGCACAGCAAGTAGGGCATTTGCCTTGCACGCGGCTGACTCGGGTTCAATTCCCAATGTCCCATATGGTCTCCTGAGCACCGCCAAGGATAATTCCTGAGTGCAGAGCCAGGAGTTACCCCTGTGCATCGCTGGGTGTGACCCTAAAAGCAAAAAGAGAGAGAGAGAGAGAGAGAGAGAGAGAGAGAGAGGTGGGGTGGGGGTGTGGGGGCAAAGGGCAGTTAGGATACTGAAGGGACAAGCATGACAATAATAGAAGGGATCAGCATGACAATAATACTTGGAAATGATCATTTTGAACACTGAATGTTCAAAGTAGATAAAGAAATGTACCTTATAGGGACTGGAGCAATAGCACAGCCGGTAGGGCGTTTGCCTAGCATGAGGCCAACCCGGGTTCGAGTCCCAGATTCCCAGCATCCCATATGGTCCCCCAAGAACCACCAGGAGTAATCCCTGAGTGCAGAGCCAGGAGTAACCCCTGTGCATTGCCAGGTGTGACCCCCCCTTCAAAAAAAAAAAAAAGAAATATACCTGATAACCTGTCATATGACTGAAATCCAATCACGAGCAACTTTGTAAATGTATTTATCACTGTGATTCAATAAAATAAAAATTAAAAAATAAATAAAAATATTAAATTGAAAAAATTGCTTTAGGGGGGCTGGAGAGATAGCACAGCGGGTAGGGCATTTGCCTTGCATGCGGCTGACCCGG